TCTGAAATGTCTTAGGCAGCCATATGACAGTCATAAGTTACAGATTTTAGGGACTGCTGATAGGGGATGGGGATTTGTTTCTTTCTGTTATTTTTTAAAATTTAACTTTTGCTTTATATATGGAGTATAGTTGATTTACAATGTTATATTAGTTTATATATTATATATTTTATACATACACTCTTCAAAGGGATTCAGTTATACATACACTCTTTCTGTTAGTTTCAGAGTATCTCTGTAGCAGTAAAATTTATGACCATGGACATTTTTTAGTTATTGGATCCAGCTTTCATGCAGCTTTTCCTGTTTTGTTTTGTTTTGTTTTCCAATAGTGGCACTTGTCAGCTTTTTACAGGATTCTGTGTGAACCTTTGGAAAATCTTTCCCAAAGGGAAACTATGCCATTTCTTCTAATCACTGGTAAAATGGTTTTAGAAGAGTTGGTCATTCAGCTCTGTGACTTTCCACGGCCATCCTCAGCGGTCACTTTTTGGTGGGTACCATCAGCAGTTTCAGAACACAGGGTATTCTGGAGCAACTTTGTAGCCACAGTTCTACCCGTCACAGGGAAGAGCTCCTTAAAAGAGCCCACTGCCAAATCTCCCCATCTCCTTCCAAGACAGAGGGAATTCTGCTCATGATCCAGGTGGAGTCTGAGGGAAGAGCATCCAGTAAGGCTGTTATACCCCGGGTGTTGATGCCAGGGTGCAGGATGGTCCATTAGAGCTCAGGGAAAGAAAAGGTGATCTGTATTTTCTCCTCAGGCTTGCGGTCAGTCTTCAAGCTGAAGGTGGGGCGTTTTCTATTTCTGGGTGTGAGTGCTGAGAGGATGGGCAGTGACCAGCCCCAGCAGCTATCCTCATCCAGCCTCTGCCCACCTCCATCTCCACAAAAACCTTGCATATGGCTTCATGGGAAAGATTGAGGTCAGGGGGTCGCCAGCTTCATCATGGTCTGCCCCTCACACTACCAATCCCACTCCTGTGTGCCCACTCTCACCATCATCGCTCTGTTCTCAGGGGAAGGGGTAGTCTTTTTGGTGTTTAGAATCAAATGTTTTCCTTATGATCTGAATCTTCTCTGTGTCTACCTTCTAACAATCTTGTTTTATCAATCATTCTCTCTCTCCTGTATTTTTATGCCTGCATTCTTAAAAAATAAAAAGGAAAGAGCAAAAGCCCAACTTTATACCAACTATCCTACATCTCTTTCTATTTACAATCAAGTTCCAAGAATCACCTATCCTAGCATCTCACCTTGCATTGACCCTTCAATCTACCATAATGAGGCTGCTGCCTTCATCTTGCCCTGTAGCTACCCTGAGACAAAGACCCTCTCCTCATCAATCCAGTGTCCCTTTTCTGGACTAGTTTTCTTGGCTGTTCTATGGCATCTAATCCTTTGACCACTCTCCTCTCCTGGAAACTCTCTTGGCCTCAGTATTACCAGTTTCCCCCATCTCCATCTCTGACTGAAGGTCCAGCCTCACTTGTGTTCTTCCTCCTTCTGTGCTACCTCTTGCATGGTGATATTTCTCAAGATTCTATATTTGTCCCTTGTATTTTGTTTTCTTTCTTTCTCTCATCTTTTGGCTGTGTGGTACAGCATGTGGGATCATAGTTTCCCAACCAGGGACTGTATCCAAGCACCCTGCATTGGCAGTGTAGAGTCTTAACTACTGGTCCACCAGAGAAGGCTTGCTCCTTGTATTTGCTGAAGTCCATCCTCTCCCCAGATGTGGCCATTCTTATCCTCTGCTTTTACTATTGTTCATATACTGATGACTCCAAAGTCCATCTTCAATTCAGACTTTGAGCTCCTCATGTTGTTTGGATGTTTCAAAGGCATCTCAAGACTCAAAATATTCAAAGCTTGTTAGCTTCTTTCCTAAGCTGCCTCCGTTTCCTGTGTCCCTCACTCAGCCTCTGAAGTCTGATTGCCAACTCTTTTGACTTACTGCTTCCATGAATAATTCACTTAAGGCAGGCACATTTAGACCCTTTGTGGTTTCAGCTCCAGTTCCTTCTCTCTGTTACCAACTTAATACCTCACAGCTTGTTATGAAAATGAAGTGACATACCACATAATTAACATGCCTAGCACCTGATAGAAATCTTAACTGAATTTAAGACCAAGAAAGCAGCCTTTCCAGGTGTTTCTGTTGTTTGGTATATTCGGACCACTGGGAGTGTCAGCACTTCCTTTTTAAAGTCATTAAAATCTATGTGGTTCACAGGCTACACGGAAATAGCAAGTCACTAAATACAGTTTGCTGACTTGAAGATTTAGGCCACTGGGAGGCTCCAGAATTGAGAAGGTTCTGACTTGGAAATCCTCAGGTGACTCCAGGCATGATTTAAGTTTCCAGTAGAAATAGTTGAAGCAGCAACCTGAAGTGTATGATTTTTTTTTAAGAGCTACCACTGATTGAAAATGTTTTCTTTCTATGAAATCTCATTTTTCTGGAACCTGTGCCATGCAGACACACACTATAATTCAGGTTCTATTCTCTGTCCTGTAAACTTTTCCTCTCTGTGAGGAAAAGAGCTATTGTCAATCCAAATTTTATTCCACTGAGCATTCAATCATGTAGAAAAGTGCATTGATAAAGAGTTATTCTCTTTGGTATTCTCTAGTGTGTTGCAAATTGTCTGACCTATCACATATTTATCATGCCATGAACTTTGTTGCATTATTTTAACAGAAACCCAACTCTGTTTGCCTATGGAATATAGTACATTTATTGCCTCATGTAACAGACAGGTTTTTTTCTCTTCAATCCATTCAGTCTTGACCCTTCCCTATGTCAGCAGTGGTGATTCTGGTCCGGCCAATGCCATGTCCCGATTGGCTTGGATCTAGGTGGCAAGATTTTAACCTGGGAAAAGCCACTATGCCTAGGCTATAGCAGTGGAGCTGGGGCTGTGGATGACTTACCCTGAAGTAGACACATTGCCTCATAAAATGGTAGGCACCTGAATAGAAGCATGTCATTCTTTTACGAGGGGTAAGATACAGTCAGCCAACAAATGTCCATTACATGAAACATAGAGACAGAGAGAACATATAAAGGAAGTAAAGGAATTGTAGGGATATTTCTTTGGAAGAAAACGTGTATGCAGTGGCACTAGAGCTCCTAGAAGAAATAAAAAAGCGGAAGACAAAAGAAACTGAGAGAAGAAAAGCAAAACAAGATCTAACTGGGAAAGACAGAGTCTGGGTATAAGGGAGAACAGGGAATTATCCTAGGACATTTATTTCTTAACTCTTTTAGTGAAGTATTTCCAGCTGTTGATGTGCTTTGTTTAACCTCTCCTCTCTTAAGGAAACACTTGAAAAATAAAATTTTTGCTTTTTTGTGGCTATGGCTTTTTCTTTTTTTTTTTTAATTTTAGGAAAGCTATTGCTGATTGAATAAGGACCTCATGTTTCCTTCTCAGATCACAAATAGGTACCTTCTACTGACTGCATCTCTCTTCTATCTGCAGATTATTTGCCATAGCCACTGTAGGATGACCACTAGTCATGTCCAGTTAAAGTTCTGGAAGGTTCCCAGAATAAGGAAGTAAAGCAACTGGACTGATTCTTTAAGGAATATGTAACCAAGTATAAAGGAAACTCTGCTCTCTTTTTTGAAGAGAGAATCCTTTGTTATACCAAGTTTCTAGGGCTGGGAGGGCACCTTCATCAGGGACAGCTTCGGTGTTACTGAGAAGAAATGGATTAGACCCTGTAGTTGGTGGATGAGGCTGTGAACTACCACAACCACCCAGAGTTTATGGTCCCAAATGGAGAGACACTAAGCAATGAATAATATATCTTTTAGCATTTACTGTGTTACTTAACATTGAGCAGATATTGGTTAAAGTGACCTCTATGGTTATAAGATTTTAATATCATCTTTGCATGTCAAGCATCTGGTTTTCCGAATTTCTACTTTGGTCCTTCATAAACAAAGAGAAGAGGGAACTTTCCACTTATTCGTGATAGTCCATTGCAACTAAAGAGATCCAAGCTTCCAATAACTAGTGGGTGAAAGTGAGAGATTTGAGAAGACAACAAGTATATGAGCAGGCTGCTGAGAGAAATGTGTCTGATTCCCAGAAGCTTTAAATAGCTAACAGGCAACTGAGGCAGGCTTCCTCCGCAAACAGCTGGGGAACCATCTGACAATGTCATTTGAATAGCGCTAAATTACCCCTCTGTCCCAAACCTTTCTTCCCTTTTGCCTTTACCAAGATGATAGAAATCTATGCATTGATCAAGGTTTTGGGTTCAGAGTGAAAGCTCTTATGAAATAAAGATATTATATAACTGTAGTTTATGCTGTGCAGTTTCCACGTTCTTGGTGTAAAGACTCAACTTCACACAAAGGCAATGAAAATATACTTGGAGCCCAGCAGGTGGTGTGCAACCCTCCTTTACTAAGAAATGTTTCTGTTTTCTTGAATCCCCACTCCGTTTGCAGAGAGATACCATTTCATGAATCTTGGATCTTCTCCCTCCTTATCTTTTATCTTTTCAATTCATCTCTTCTCTCCCTCTCCATGAACCTGGATCCTCCCCACTTATTCTGTGTGTCCAAGGTCGATTCCCTTTGACAGAAAATTCTGGACCTGTGTTACATATTACAGCAACTGAAGCCACATATAGCTATTGAACACTTACAATGTGACTAGTGTGACTGAGGAAAGGAATTTTTAATGTAGCTTAATTTTAACTAATTTAGATTTAAAAACTGAAGCTATCGAACAATGCTAACACTGTTTGATTGTTTTGGTAGGACTGCATTTCACTGTAAACTTTGAAAATTTAGCATTGAATTGACATGTGCTAAAAGTGTAAAATACACACTAGAGCTCAAAGATTTAGTATAAAAAAGAATGTAAAATATCTATAGTAATTTTTATATTAGCTAAATATTAAAATAATATTTGATAACTAGTCTAAATAATATAAATTATTAAAATTAATGTTACCTATTTCTTTTTATTTTTTTAATGTAAAGAATTTGATTAGAAAATTTATATATGTGTCTCATAATTTTATTGAATGGCACTTTCTAGATTCTCATTTTTTAGGAAGGAGCAACAATTGAATACAAACAAGCCACTCTCTTGGTTATATGGATCACCTTTCATAACATAAATTCAATGCCAAGAGAACTGTCTCCCTCTCCAGGGTGAGGAAAACAAAAAAGGATGGAGAACAAACCTCATCCTGAAGCCACTACCAGTTTCAACACTCAGCGGCACTAAGAGCATTAGAAACAGAACTGAGTCTGTATGTTAAGGTTCCTGAGACCTAGTTGAGCTCTATCACTACTGTATCATTTACACCAGCTTTAACTGTTGGTGCCACACTAACTGTAACTTTTACTTATCATTTGAGTTCTCTGCAGAGCCTAGTAGATTCTGGACTGCTATATGCTTATGGTCTGGTAAAGATTATCATTTATTTAATCCAGTACATTGTGAATTTTAAGTATGTTCTGGTCACAGTATATACTTCATTCAATTTTTAGGTTATAAAAATGATACCAAAATTTCTAACTGAAGATAAGAAAGTATTCTCAAAGAACATTATTTATCTCTCATCTTATTTCCTGGCCTGGTCAACAGCAATATTTCATGAGTTTGAAAAGGAAGGAATTTAGCTAGTACTAGCTATCTAAAAATTAAATTAATTAAAATTAAATGTTATTTTTAAATATTTCAGAGTTAGCATCCAAATAAATAGGTTGTCTTGATAATTATAAATCAGTAGTAATTTCAGTAGGCTGAAGCTATAAGCCAAGCCAATATATGAGAAAAGTCTATAGCTATAGATATTTAGTCTATATCTACAGCTTTACAAAACTATGGAAAATTGTAGCAATTGATATTGTTTCTATAAAGAATGCAATATACCATGTCTAGAAACTATCTTTATATTCTGAATCTTATATCATTTCATCCATTTTTCCAATAAGAAGAGATAAATACACCAACTGTATAGGTGGTATACTTCTTTTTCATTACCTTAAGTAAATGAAATAAACAGACTCTCTTAGAATAGACTATATAATATGTAGAACTCATGCTTGCCATCTTACAAGGAGTTATTTGTATGTGAAATCTTGTGGACTTGAGATTGAAAATGTGTGATTTACAAGCAAAGAAAAAACAGCTTTAAATCTTAGTGCCCTGCATTTCAAATTTCTGGCTGATTTATAAGCCTTTTAAATCCCATGCTTAAGAAATTCAAAATTTATATGGCTATATATATTTAGCTAATATTAACTCCTCAGCCAGCCAGCCTGTGGCATTTTGCATGCTTTTCTTCATTTTTTCCGTCTGTATTTTTTCTCATCTAGCTTTTTCAGAAATGTTATTCCTATTTCTGTCACACGGTCGCCTTTTAGTCTATCTTGCAAGAATGTAACATCAGCCGCCAAATGAACCTAGGAAAGGAAGAAAAAAAAAACAGGCTTATATCATTCAGCTTTTTAAAAAACTCTTAAATGTTTCTATTTTTCAGTTCGCCATACCCCATAAAGAGCTCGCTTTCCTTGTGGAATGATAAAAAAGGGCTTGCTCTGTGGATGAAGGGCCCTTCACTGTGTGTCCTCCACTGATGCTCTGGCTGCGGTCAGCTCTATGTGAGAGTATGCAAAGAGAAGGGTGGTCCAGGACAGGCTCAAATCATCCTGGCTGATTCTCCGGCAAACCCAGAATGTGGGCCCGTTTTTGCTCACAGTATAGGTCTAAAGGACGAATCTGTCTCAGGAAGAACACGAATTCCCAACTCTGAGATGGCCTTGACCCAACGTGTCTTGCCAAACAGAACTTCCAAGGATAAATGGCTTCTTAAAAGAATCTTCTCCAGCTGACTTGCGATAAGTCATTCTGTCATTAGCTCAACAACATAAACATTTGTCCTAACAACATTTAGCAATCACTCATAGCTTTGAGAACTATGAAACAACACCAACTAAATAAATTATAAGTATAAAATTAAACATTGAAATTATGGACTTGAATATTTGATACCCAGGCCTTCTTTTCCACAATAAAGCATTTCTCAATTCTCAGACATTGAAGTAAACCCTTGGAGCTTACTTCTCTATTTGTTAAAATACACTCACAAAGGAGCAGCATATTGCTGACCTACCCTCAACAGAGTGCCTTTTCAGTTATTTTAAGTCACGAGAATAAATAAGATAAATTAGCAAAAGTACCTAGTAAAAGCAAATAAGTGAAAAGGCCTGGGTCTACTAATTAATACTTATTGAGTTCTATCTCACTCATTCCCCTCTCTCGCTAAGAATTCCTTGGTCAACCAGCTTGCCTTTGTTAAACCATAGACTTCGTTGTGCCAAATTATTTACTATTTGAGTGCAAAAACCATACCTTTGTGATCACCCAGTAAAAGGATGTACACAGCACTTTGAAACATGGAAGTTAAATGCACTCTCATTTTTTTCTCATAAGATCTTTCTTCTATTTGTCATAATTTAACTGAAAATCAATTAAAATAAGAAGACTACACTGAAATTATTTGGGTATATGGGACCACATATATGTCATTCAGCACATATAATCAATTGTTATCCATGAAAACTGAAGAGACTTCTTTATCCTATTTTGGACTTGATTTTTTTCTCTATCTATATGCAATTCACACTGAATTAATTCAACTTCTTTGTCCCTTGAATGAAACATTTTTTGTATGCTTTTGGACATAGTTCTCCTTTTACCTGGAATACTATTTTCCCCTTGCCCCAAGATCTTCACCTAACTGCTTTGTCATCTTTCAAATGTCAGCTCACAGTTTCCGTAGGAAGGCTTCCCTCTCCCCACCCCTGTCCCACCCCAGGTCCTGCCATGACCCTGAGTCATTTGGCTACTATACTGGACAAAAGACACTTGAAGGCAACAACTGTGTCTTTTTCTTCTCTGTATGCTCAGCACTTCACAGAGGCTGATCTCTATCTTAGTTAAATCAATGGATGATTAGGTTTGATTTGATTTAACTAAGCCTCCAGCGGCCCCCAGTGACCCCATCTCCTGTCATTCAAGTAGTTCCCCCCAAAGTCCAGCAGAATTGAGAGCGCCTGTGGTGATTAGATCACTACAGAGACCTCTGTGACAAGGAAATCAGGAAGCCTCTAGCCAGCTGTGAGCAAGGCACTGAAGCCAGTGAGTGAGCTTGGAAATAGATTCCCAGCTTTAGTCAAGTCTTCAGAGACTGCAGCTCCAACCAGGGCTTGACTGCCCATGCTCTATACTGTGAAAGGCTTTGAACCATGGCCGCCTAGCAAGGCCATCCCAGGTCTCTGGTCCTCAGAAACTGTGTGAGATAATAAATATTTGTTGTTTTAAGCAGCTACCTTTGGGGGTTATTAGTTAGCCAGCACTAGATAATGAATGCTATGTCATGCTTAGTCGCTCAATCGTGCCCAACTCTTTGCGACCCCATGGACTGTAGTCCGCCAGGCTCCTCTGTCCATGGGATTCTCAAGGCAAGAATACTGGAGTGGGTTGCCATGCCCTCCTCCAGGGGATCTTCCCAATCCAGGAACTGAACCAGGGTCTCCTGCATTGCAGGCGGATTCTTCACTAGCTGAGCTACCAAGGAAGCCCAGATAATTACTATACATCTGGCAAAATACAGTATGTGCCTTACCATTTCCAGGGCCCCTCTGATAATCCCACAGAGTAAGTTGCAGTAGCACAGAGAAGACCGCCCCGTGGGGAGCTCTTCCACAAACTCTACCAGCGGATTCTTGTCTAGAATCAGGGAAAATTCATTTCTGCTTGCGTTGTTACACGTCACACTTGGTGTAATTCCTAAGTACATCTTGAAAGCAACCTAGCAAACAGGGGAAAAAAATTACTAAACTTGGCCTGGAATAAATAACTATTAGTGGAGAAGGAAATGGCAGTCTACTCCAGTATTCTTGCCTGGGAAATGCCCTGGACAGAGGAGCCTGGCGGGCTACAGCCCATGGGGTCGCACAAGGGTCCGATACCACTTAATGACTAAACAAAGACAACAAAGTGGCTGGGCTGCGTTGTTGTACAGAAGAAACCAAGGCAATATTGTAAAGCAGTTGTCCTCTGATTAAAGAAAAAATAAATAAAAATAAAAACCTGTTAGTAAGACACCCAAATACCGTTCCAAGCACAACTGTTAAGCTTGTGGAGCTCGTAGTCAGAAAGCCTGAAGTTCACACTCAGCTTTGAAATTTACTGACCTTACGACTTGTATAATTCTTAAACTCTTTTCATTGAATCTCCTAATTAGTTTTCTTTGGAAACAGTATGGTTTATGAAACACAAAGTGAAGGCAGTATTTTTGAAAAAAAATCTTTAAAAAAAAATATTCCTTAGAAGGGTAAGAAATTAAAATATTACTCATCAGCAGCATACTAGCATAATATCTGCCACGTGAGCCCAGCAAAGTCCTCTGAATTAGAAGGGGCCCGAGACACATGTGCCACAACAGGAAGCTGACAGAGTCGAGGATAGAGGGGGTCGAGGAAGATTAAACCCAAGAGTATGCTTTGGGAGGTGGAGGCAGTCATATCACCATGAATAACATCTCTGAGAAGGAGCAAGGGCCAGTGGTGGCAGGCACATGAGTGGATCATAAAATAGCTTTTCAAGAAAGTCCGCTGTTTTAAAGAGCTTAAAGAATTTGACAACGTAGAAATAGAGGACACCTTGGGGACTGTTTCTTTTATACCTCTAGTTTCACAAATGAGTAAACTGGGATTCGGAGAAGTAAAACGACATGGTTAGGATTACACTATACCTTATTTCCTTGGCTTCTAGTCCAAGTAACTTTCTTGTCAACATACAGACCTGGAAACTGAGGTTTATTAATGGAAATTTGTTAGCTTGATTGCTGTTGTCTTTCAAGTGATTTCATTAATTTTCATATTAAAAGCAGTGTTTTTAATATTAAAAGCAGTGTAGAACCGAAGTGAAGACAGTTTCCTTAAATTGTACATAATTAGAAGTACTAAAAGGTTCATGATTCATTCATTCATTCAGTAGTACACGTTGATCACTGCCTGTCTAGCACAGTGCCTGGCACACAGCAGAATTCAACAACTATTTGAAAAATGAATTATTGAATAGGCATTCATTCTGTGTTTAACATCATCTTTACACCCAGAATACAAAGTTTATTAAGATGTAGCTCCTGTTTTATAGGAGATTGCAGTTAAAAAGGTGCTATAGATATTAAATAAATAACTGTACTATTATGACAAGCTCCACAAGTACAATGTTGTATATTAGGAAGTAACCCTTGAAATATTTACAGAGGAAGAAGCTTCTACACTGTTTATGAATACTGAGCGAGTGTTTGCCAGGTAGATAAGGAAAGGTGTGTTTGTGTGTCGGGGCATGGGGTGGGGGGTATATTCCAGATAGAAGGAACATGTCAAGGGCACAGAATACCATGATGAGGTTCAGGGGAAGTTCGCATTTATCAATTTGTGGGCAATAGGGAGCCCCAAATGTGTGAGTAGGCTAGGGAGGAACTGCATTTCTATATTAGAGGGATCTCCTTCGTGTCAGCACAGAGGACGAATTTAGGCTTGAGAATGGGGGTAGGCATGAAGTCAAAGGCAGAAATACCAATTAAAAGGTTACTATGATAGGAAAGAAATATGTCTAGGAAAGAAATGAGGAGGACCCTTCTCACTTTGTCTTTCACTCAAAACTCAAACTCTCCCTGAACTTTTCCATATAAATTTCAAACAGCCCAAATCCTAAAATTTGATAAAATCACAGATCAGTTAAAGAGGAGGTAAATTGAAGCTTCCAGATCTTAAGTCAAAGTAGCAAAAGTTTTAAGTAACGAGAAAAATACCATCATGAAAGTCTAGGCTTGGAGACTTGATTTGGCTCCCAACCAATTGGCTGAAACCTGATTTCTGCTAATGTTTATTCCTTCGGATGGAAAATTCCTAAACTATTATTATCTGTAATAGTCGGAATTTCTTTCTGATTCTCAATCCAAGCCACATGGAAATAACATAAAAGTGGAGGCTATTCACTGTGAATTTACTCCTATTATCAGTGTTTTGGCTCTAGTTTCATAGTCTAACATCCACCAGTAGGAGGCATTATCTGAACACTGTTGGGAAATATTCATTCCTAGGGAATGACATTGTTTCCTTATCTGGCTGAATTCAGTCTGAGAAGGAGGACTGTTGTTTCTAATGAAGAAAGAGCTCCACCCTCGGCCACTGCCACAGCGGCTCTGCCAACAAGTAAGAGCAAAGCGTTTTCCCTCTGTGTATCTCCAACATGGATGCTTTTCAGGGGTTCTTAAAATTCATCCTCAACCAGAAAACTGTTATTGGCTACAGCTTCATGGCTCTGCTGACCGTGGGAGGTGAGCGTCTCTTTTCACTCGTGGCTTTCAAGTGTCCCTGCGGCACTGAGAATGTGATCTACGGACTGGCTTTCCTGTTCGCTCCTGCCTGGGTGTTACTGATCCTGGGATTCTTCCTGAACAACAGGTCATGGAGACTCTTCACAGGCTGCTGTGTGAATCCCAGGAAAATCTTCCCCAGGGGCCACAACTGCCGCTTCTTCTCCGTCCTCGGGCAGATCATTCTGAGTTCACTGGTGGCTCCAGTGATGTGGTTGTCAGTGGCTTTGCTCAATGGGACTTTTTATGAATGTGCAATGAGCGGGACCCAAAGTCCAAGACTCCTCGATCTGATTTGCAAAGGCAAGCCTGAAGAGTGCTGGAAAGAACTTTACAAAGTATCTTGCGGAAAAACCAGCATGACTCCCACAGACAACGAAGAACTGAAATTGTCGCTGCAAGCCCAGTCTCAGGTAAGAAGGGACACAGGTGCCTTTCCCCCACACCCCCCTGCCCCCCAGCGTGAGCCTAAAGTATTCTCTCTGTACTCCCTTCAGCCAGGGTAGAGCCTGAATCCTACCAGAACATTCTGAAACTCTGGAAATTGGAATGCAGTGCAGCATTAAGACAGTCTCAGGAAAAGCTTTTCAGAGGTTGGATGGCTAACAAAATTGCTGATTGGATTGTCTTTTCCACTTCTGAAAAGAAAATCACCTCTTGAGTTAGACATCTGTAAACACTTAAGTACTTTAAGACAATCTCTCTGGGTTGACTTTGTAAATGATGCATCACACTAACTCATTATAGAGTGTTAATGGCAGAGCTGTAATTAGAAATTACTGCCTTCTATTAATTATTTTCAAACTGGTTTTTCAGAGAAATGCACACATACATACATAGCATACATCCATTAAAATACAGCTGAACCAAATGAGCTAATACGTTTCAAAGTTGTACATCATATAATTAGTGTAGAGATTCCACTGCATGATTTCTGGCAATTGCTATCTTTATGTGTAAATATTGTTAAGATGGAAAAGAACTTCCTGTATAAAATGGGGTGTTGGCAGACTTTAAATAGCCTTCAGTGAGACAGGACCATATTCTCCAGGGAGTTTTCCTCCTACGTTCTGTGCTCTATAGCTAACATGTTCTTCTTATATTACTTCAGAGCTCAAGATTTGGGGCATTGTTTTATTTAACAGAAGGAAATTGTAGCTTTACCTAACTGATACAAGGAAGTAGCTTGTCATTCTTTCAGGGACGTGAGCACAAATCCAGATGTGAGCCTGGCCCTGGCCTCAGGAAAAGACTGAATTCCTACTTGTGAGGAGCAGGAATGACATTTCACAAATCAAAACAAGCAATAGGAGTAGATAAACAGGTCCACAGTCTGTCAGGAAGGCTATTTGTTAAAGAATAAATGCGCTGAAAATACTGAGACTCTTTTTTTTTTTTTTTTCAATATAGACTTGCCTTTTCAACAACGTATCAAAGCAAAAATCTTTCCCAAACTGGTTGGCAATATATTCAGACTCTCTTTATAAACTAATAAGCCTAAAAATGCTCCCCAACAAAACCTTTGTTTAATGCACAAAGCACATTTTAGACAAAAGCATGCCAGGCTGCCAAACGTCTTCCTTCTTTTGCTGAAGGAAGGTCTTAATTACAAATGCGATGATGCAATGAGTGATTTATGATTTGTGTCCTCGGGTACCAGCCCCATTCAGGTAGCAGCAGCTCCAAACACTTACCACTGGATGAGCTTTTCCTTCTCTAAATACAGGCCTAAGGAAATCATGCCCGTCCTGCCACAGCTGAGCCTGGGTACACTGACCTGTTTACTTTTCAGAGGAATGAGAAGGACCCGGGGCTGAGTCCTTAGGAGATGATGCATAAGAGATGCGGACAAAGGGAGCTGTATCCTAGCAGGTGCTGACCGCAGTGCTTCCGACAGGCAGGAGCAGCAAACGTTCCGGACCCACAGCTGGGCATGTGGGTGGGGGTGGAAAAAGTGCCACGTCCATGGGTGGGGCAGAGGAACGAAGTCCAGCTGGGCGGCTTTCCATCCTTTGGGTAGGTAGAATAGTGGCAAGAACTCCGTCTTGGAGTTGCCTAGCCTCGGGTTTGAATCCTGATTCTACTGCTCACCAGCTATGTGACCCAAAGCTACCGTTTGACCCCTGAGAGCCCCAGTGGCCTCATAGTTGGGAGTAATAACACCTACCCTTGGAAGCACAGAGATGATGGACATAAATGGGCATCAAACTGCTGGCACACAGTAAGTATTTTAAACTGATGAGAAAAATGCCAAGGTTTGAGGGAGAAGACACATGCAGAATGGCGTATTATTGAGGGCTGGGGTGGGACCATCCATCAAGTCTAGTTAGATCCTGGGTACCATGAATTAGGGAAGAACAAGAGGGCTCAGTGCTCAGCACTCAAGTGGAAGCAAGTTGACACTAAGGCCATGCAATGAG